GGGACGCCTGGGCCAAAGGCAGCTGGGTTTAGGGGTTTAGGGGAGGGCGACCTGCAGATGTAATTTTGCCATAGTCTTGAACAGTCCGGGTCTATAGATTCGCATGTGATTGGTGTTCCGATGTTTCTGAGAAGTAGGGCACGGGTCCTTTCCATGTCCTTATACCTGGTTTTTTGTTAGGTTTCTGCTTCTTGTTCCTTTTTGCCGGAGTCGCCAGTTGCAGCTTTCGAATACGATCTAAGGAACCGATTTCTGCAGGATGTCGAATCTTGGTCTCCTACCAGCACCTTTTGCCCATTGCGGTTTGCGGGCTTCCTTACTGCATAACGAGAGGTAGGGTAGGCTCACTATTAAGGGGATACTGGGTGAGCTAGGAATTGGCACCGCGCACCTTCACCGGCATCGTGAAAAGCAAGCGTAAAGGTAGTCAGTGAGCTGCCCTGGATTCGCCACAGAGAGCCCAATGTACGTGCTCCGTGACTAAGGAACGATGGGCTTGTTGGGGGGACTTAGGGGTTTCAGTTTTTGTGCAAAAAAACCTCCGTAATACAGGAAGATGCTAGGAAGCTGTTAGGCCACGTCTCTTCCTTAGTCAACGGAGCATTGGGCACTCTTTTTCACAGGGTGGCTTGCAAGCCGAGTTGATGGACCAAGGGCCCATGCGGTAAAGAACAAAATTCCCAGGATGAGGTTGACCATTAAGGCTGTAGGATTTTCAGGAAAGCTGGTCAAAAGACCACGGGCAACGTAAACCTTGCTCTCAACCCTAAACTAAAGCCCATACTAGCTGCGTGGTCTATTTCTTGCATAAATCATGAGCACGTAAAAACGAGTCTTTTACTGAGTACCGTGGTCGGGGATGCAAGTGGTCCAGCCGTCAACCGCGAATCCTGCGTCAAACCCTAAGTTCATGCTTGAAGCTCAGAGCGTTTAAAGCCTGCCTCAAGCCCAAATCAACCCTAGTTTCAGTTTTGAAACCCTCCGGCTTGGTTATGGCCGCTACCAGTTTTTTCGAAGTGGTGGCACGGTCGCTAGAAGACTCGAGTCGAAATTCGGTCCAAGGGCTTTGGGTTTGCGGCCCTAAATCCCCACCCCCAGCCGAACGCCAAAGCTACTGTAGGCATCTTCAGAAACACAACAATATGGTTTTGGAGTATAGTAAACTAGACATATCGTCAAGAATCCGAAGGAGTTGAATAGCTAATGATGCAGTTTTGTATATTACATGCTCCTACCTTGCAATCTGTGACATGGCCCGCTTGGTCCTCGTCGAGCGGCTCAGACAATCGTGGTGCGCCACTTTCCCCAATTGAGCTTATCTGGTTTACTTTTTCTCTCTCTCTCTCTCTATATATATATATATGTATAATATACGTACATACCCACACATGTATACATATCTATAAATGTGGACATACACACATATTTACATATGTGCATATATACATATATACACACGCAGAAAGATGTACATACGTATGTGCATATATGTATATATACTATATATTTATATATATATACATGTATATATATATATATATACATATACAGAGAGATAGAGGGTTTGCTATATGGGTGCTGTAGGCTTTTCACGTGGCCCATGCCCTCACAGAGTTTATGCGTTGGCCTTCAAGGTGTTCATGGACCCCTACGGCTTGACGTTAGGTTCTACCCGAGAGACGCTGCAGAAACTACCGTAACCGCGGGTATTGCCTCTGTTCCTACAGGTCGTTTGCAGTGCGCCGGTGGGCCGGAATCTGGGATGTCCATGTCGTGTTAGGGTTTAGGGTTTAGGAAATTGGGTTTAGGGTTTAGGGTTTAGGGGCCTGAAGAACCAGAAGTAGCTCCGATCATTTCGTTCGTGCGCCTCGGTCGTCGAGCTGCTTATGTTTACAAATTCGGACCTGCCACTGGTGCTAGCCCCGACTGGGCAAAGCACAGAGGTGCACAGGGGTTGTGTTGAAGATAGCTGGTACAAGTCTGTTGGCCATGAATTAGAATTAGACCCTTCAGAAAGCAGAAACCTTCTCCGTGAAGCCTCCCTCCCTCCCTCCCTCCCTCGCTCCCTCCATCCCCTATAAACACTTGGAGCCTAATGCTTCTGAGGTCTAGTGTGAGTTTACAAGACATGCGACCTTAGTAAGCCCCTCCAAATTTCAAGAGCATCAAAGACACGGTCAGTGAAGATTCGACGTCCAAGGCGAGTGTAGTTGTGTGAATGCACTTTTTACACTTTTTTGGTATAGCAAAATCCCCGACAGAACTGAAAGTCTACACACTAAGTAGAATCCTGATAACTCACTGCAAGAGCTATCCTAGATCTTCAGGCAGAACAGGGCAACTGGGTCCTTGTTAGATACAAGTTTACATGTTTGTTCTAATGAAACCCAACAGGAATCAAACATGATCATGTTTAATGGAGCCCCAACAGGGAACGAGGTCAGTCTTGGATGTGTTGGGTTCTCAGCGACCAGAAAAGAAGGGTCTTAGGTTTAAGAACCTTTAACCCTAAACCCTAAACCCTAAACCCTAAACCCTAAACCCTGAACCCTGAACCCTGAACCCTGAACCCTAAACCCGAAACCCTGAACCCTAAACCGTTAGGTTGGTTTAGGCCTTGGGTCTGGGGGCTTGGGGCTTAGGGTTTACGCCAGACCTTGGGGCTTTAGGGGTTCAGGTCTTGGGGATTTTGCATGTTTAGGGTTTAGGGTTTAGGGTTAGGGTTTAGGGTTTAGGGTTTAGGGTTTAGGGTTTAGGGTTTAGGGTTTAGGGTTTAGGGTTAGGGTTTAGGGTCGTCGCTACGAGTTTTAAGTTCAGGGTCTCTGGGTAAGCTAGGGTTGGTGCAGGCCAATTAAACAGGGCGTAGGGCCTAGTTTCTGCATGTCTCTGCTTAAACGGATGACATCTAGATAGTAAGTAGACCCCAAACCCGCAACCCTGAACCCGCATAGGACAAGGCCTTCAGAACGCTTTCTCTACGTGCTCATGTTCGTGGTCGGGTTTGTTTCTCGTTATCTGGTTGTGGCTGGAGCATGACGTCCTCGAAGGGGCCGTCACTGAGCCTGGAAGTCCGAGTCTTTTTCAAGATCAA